CTTCTACTAACTAGGTGCCAGTTATACATCCCCAGTATTGACAACTACAAATATCTCCATCCACTGCCACATGTTCCTTACGGAGCAAAATACCCCCACCCCCGTCCCATGTTTAGAACCACTGGGCTAGGGGTGAGAGGAAAATTTTTTTAGTTTTATGTTAATATTGCCATAATGATGTTTGTTCAATAAACACATATTGGAAGGGGAAAGGAAAACTCCTTACCATATAGCATCTAACAGCCCCTTTTTTCAAGAGTTAGAATTTATTCAGTTCCCATTTAATGTGAAAAATTGAAAATGCTGCAGAACTTGTTTTACTTTTCCAATCTACTATAAAAAAGAAAGCTGAATTTCTCAGTATTTGGAAACCTGACTTGGCTTTAAGCATGACCATCACAAATAACTGCTGTAATTGGCCTGAGAAATAAAAATATCTAACTAATTCTATCCCCACAAATACCTGTTAAAAAGGTACACTTTGCATATCTTCAAAATAACTTTACATTTAAGAATAGTAAGACTCAATGAGAAACACATACTTTAAGACAAATTAAAGTTTTCCGTGCTAAAATACAATTGCACTGGATCTAAATAAATCATATTCTATTTTTAAGGCCTCTCTGTTCCAGTCTTTTTAGGACTATTAAGCCTGCCCCCTTGCCAAAAATATTTATTTTCAATCATTCCTCCTGTTTTGTTTTTGTTGTTGTTGTTGTTTCTTGACACACATCACAAGGGATGTTTCTGATTAACAAACTGACATGAAGAGGAGGCACAGGAACTGTTTCAAGCATCTCTTTTCCCGAAAATTCTATCGTATCACAGTTTGGGTTCATATGGACTTAAAGGTGAAATCTTGTTACATGATCACTCTGAATGATCTTTTCACATACATGAATGCATCACTAAAATGTATGCCTAACACAGTATTCACTTAAGCAAGGAACAATCTTCCTTCTTTATATAAGACTGAGATAAGCCCCCAAAATGCATTTTGACTTTTTTCCCCTCCACTTTCAAAACACACTAGTAGAAATTTACTGTTTGTATTTACCAAAGTGTGCTTCTCCATTCTCGTCTCTAGTTTACCAGAGACAGAAAGCTTGCCGTAGCACAGAGAAACAAAGAAAATCTTCCAAATGATTCCAGGACTGGAGAATACCCAAAGCAGGACTTAGATACCCAAAGCATTGTAGCAGGAAAGAAGGAGGTCGTGTAGAGATGACAGAGGTGGTGGAGACGAATGGACATTCAGGAGTGTGCAGTGGGGACGAGAAAGGGTGAGAATGGCTGCGGAATGAGCAGGATGAGAAAACTGGCACTCAGGATTAATGAGAGAAGTGGATGAGGTTGTAGCTTGAAAGGCAGAAGGTAACTGACTTGATGACGCCTGATGTTGAGGATACAAAAGGCCTCCGGAGCTTCATCAGGAATTAAAGTTCTGCATGGCGAACATAGGGCAAAACGGAGAAAACGGCAGTTCTTTGTTCACAGGCCGACAACCAGGGGAATCCGTGGCTCGGTGGACTTTGTCATGGCCTGGACCTTCAGATGCAGTCTCTGTGCAGGGGTGAGTCTTCGCCTGGAAAGTGAGAAGAGGAACGTCTACCTAACAGACTGAGGGTTCTAAGCCCTCTTTAAATAAAAGCAGCAGCCTAATTCTAAAGGCCTGCGGCGGGTGGGTCCCGGGAAACCGGCGAATCCATCCTTAGGCAGAGAAAGGCCAAGCCAGGTGAGTCTCTTCTGTCGTTTCAGGCCCTGCTGGGCAGAAAAGCGGGAAAGACCTGTAATGCTAAAAAAAAAAAAAAAAAAAAAAAGAGCGGAGAATAGCTGCTTTTCTCCTTGGGGCTGCGGCGGGAACCTCAGGAACCAGGCTGGAAATTGTCCTTCAGAGAGAGCGGTGAGTGTCCGGGGGCAGCTACGCTCCACCGCTGCTCAGCGGAGAGCTGCAGGTGCCGGTCTGGTCACGGGCGTCATAGCAACCGCGCTCTCTGCGGAGACGCCGCGTCCTTCCGGCGGGAACCATAGAAACGACACGCACCATTGGCTCAGGGGCTGTGCTTCCTGCCAGACACCATTGCTACGGCTTAGAACATTGGCCTCTGGCTTAGCCCGAGGAACGAAGGTACGGTTCATCCCATTGGCTCTGTAGTAACCATGGTAACGTAACGGCGTGTATTTGCAACTTTACGTGTAACTTTTGGCACCGGGTGTTTATAGTTCTCAAGTAGCTTCCCGCCAGACCTTATCGAGAGCCCAAGCCTAATAAACTTGAATTTATTTTTCTAGAAGTAACTTCATTCTTAAAGGGGGAGGTTGCTAGGTCAGGAGTTCTGAATTTTAGGTCAGAATCTGTCACTCATTACTTGGGTGGGGCGGCTAAGGCAAATCACAACACTTTTGGAATCGGCTTATTATTGTAAAAATGAAGAAACCGGACTTGACTAGAACTATCCCTAAAGCTGAAGTCCTTCAGAAACCCTAAGCACTGAAAATTCGGTTTATGCGAACAGTATCCTCCACCTACGTAATGCAAAATAAAAATATCTAAAAGACACAAAATTTAACATAGCCTCGGTTTTTATCATCTTCATTTAAATGCTCTTGCCGCAAGATTCTAGTTAGTTCATCAAAGCTCGATTTTACTCATGTTTTGGGGCCCTTGCTTTGCTGGTATCCCAAACACATACTTGACATTTCTTAGTCTTATTCTAGTTTCTCATAGGATCCTTTCCAAAGCTTTGCCGGTTCCACATGCATTATCTGGACGGATCTTATCCCTTAACTTTCTAGAAGTGCTTCAATCTCTCCCTCTGGCACCAGAGCCCTTGCAAGTGTTTTCTTCTCTGATCTGAAATGCTCACCACCATCACCTCCAGCCCACTTAACTTCTATGTAGCAGTTCAAGCGTCATTTCCTCCTCAAGGATACTTTCCTTAGTCCTCTGATCTAGATCAAGTTCCTTATTTGCTCTCATTGACTTACGTTCCTTTTCATTCATGGGTTGTGTTTTTTTTGTCCGAGCCGTGGCTTGGTATTGAACCCGGCCACGGAAGTGAAAGCGCTGCATCCTAACCATTAGACCACCCTCATTCTTAGTTTTCTTTCATTCTTTACACACTTCCATTTGCTGATTAAACAAACAAACAAAACAACTTCTTGGAATTTCTACATGTGTAAATACTGTTTAAATGCTCTGAATGGAAACTAAACTGAATTGGAAAACACTCTAAATAATTCCATTTAGGGTAGTGGTGGTTGTTTTTAAGCATTAACAAAACACAACAGAAAATGGTTCCCAAGGGAAGTAATAATTATGATAAAAACAAACATTAGAATCACTTCTAGTTCTAACTCCATTTATCCTCACTGTACAGTCAAAGATAATGACAGCCATCATCCACATAAGCTATAGATGTAGGGAAGAAAATCAATCTTTTATTTCATGCCCCTTTAGTACTGCAGCCACTGCCTAGTCTGTTGCTTTTTAGGTTTTGCCAATTGAACCAGAAGTTAATTTAAAATTTTTGTTCAATAGGATTTCTGCTTCCAGAGAAGTCCTGATTGCTGCAGTTATTTTTCCTCTGCTTCCTGATTTAATGAAGTCACATTTCCTAAACACTTCACCTGAAGTATTTAGATGTGTCTTAGCACTTCTGTTCATATCTTTTCAATTGAAGTTTATTGTACTTCTGTTACCAGACACACTTTGGGCTACCCTTCCCAACTCATTCCATGAACTGCATTTTAACTCATTTATGTGAGGTAGAGTACTTGCTTCTACCTAGTTCTTAAAGGTAGTTTTTCACATTGCACTCCGGACCATCCTACGGGTCATTTAGGGTATTTCTCAGGACTCCACTTCTTTTGCACTCCCAACTCAAACCCCAGGCCAGTGGGAGCTTTGAAAACACTGCCTTGCTAAGTGAGAAAAACAGCAATCGCAACCACTTATTGAATGTGAATTACGTGCCAAGTGCCAGACTCATGCTTTACCTTCACCATTTTATTTATTTAATCCTCACAACAAATGGTGTTATTTTGTAGAGAAATTATCACCATTTTACAGATGAGGAAACTAAGTCAGGTATCTAAGTTTACAATGCTAATTGGTGGCACAGCTGGAAGGGTCTAACCTGGCTAAGATGACTCCAAAACCTATACTCTTTACCACCTTGTAATGTCTCCTTCAGGGCAGTGGCCACCAACTGGGCCCTGCATGGCCCCAGGTAGAAGCCCGGGTTAACTTTCCCTCAAGAGCAGTTCTAAAATATTTGAAAGGTAAATTCTTAACTCAAATATGGAGTGAGTCTAGGACAAGAAGCAAGGAGTAAATGTTGTGGGACAATCATCATTCTATAGATAATCTATCTTTGGGGAGGCGTCCTTCTCTCCTACTCCCATCTTTAGTAAATTTCAAAAAAAAAAAAACCACAACAACATCATCCTTTCCACTGTGTTGGCTTTGGGGCACACACTTTATTGTACTTAATTTTTTTATATATCCATTTCCCAAACTACACATGTTTATTCATCTTTTGAATCCTCAAAATCCTCAGGGCCTATCACATAGTAGGCATGAACAAATATATGCTCTTCAAAGCATGGCCATTCATGCATCCATAATCCCTTTCACAGTATGAAGAAGACTGATATTCAGGCCCCACATGTATATTTTGAGGAATATAATTCCCAATAAGTTTTTTTTTTTCTTAAGGTGAGAAACAACTTGAATCATTTTCAAAATCAAGATATCATTCAGGTGAGTGTGTCAGGTGGTTTGGTCATAACTGCTTTACCTTTGTTTTCATGTTTTCTGAGTATTAAAAGACCTTTAAAAGACAAACACCAAGCAATATTCGTCTGCACACTACTCACTGCTTTCCCCCTTCATTTTCTGTCTTTATGAAAGCAAAGGATTTATTCTAGTTCTCACCATCTGTAAGAGCCCTGGTCCACTGAACAATTTTTGATCTTATAAATAAAGGCTTTTTACTTCAGTTTTTGTCATGTATAAAAGCGGTATGTCGAGACTGAAGATCATCCACTATCTTCTCTTCTATCTCTATGCCTTTTCCTACTTCTTCCTCTGATAACAATAACTTGGTTTCTGACTCTTTGGTTATAATAACCACAAAGGACCGTCGTGAATCAAGGATGTTAGCCACCACCACTTGATGTCGATAAATTTCCAAAGCATTCCGTGCACGATCAATTACAATGGAGGGGTCAGTCTCCAACTTAAAGGAAATTATAAACGCTTTGGGAGCCCAGTCTTTAACCAAAGGAGAAAGCATTTTTGGCACCATCTTCATTGTTATCTGTATTGGAAAAAGAGAAACTTAATAAGCAAACAAGGTTACCACCTACCAACCAGGTCAATCTCAAGGGAAACTAAAGAAGCAGAGACTCAGATGTTTGGCTATGTCAGTTTAAGTGGGACTTCTCACTTCAAACTTTTTAAAGCATATTAAATGCTTACTTAAAAGCCTTGACTCTGTAGTGTTCATAAGGATGCCTGATTTCAAAGCTTCATACATATTCTGGGGCAAACCATGTCTTATGAATTAGCCCTGCTCTGCAACCCTCATCGCCATTAATAGAACTCTAAAGACCAGTATTACATTTTCTCAAACATTCCCTTTTATTTTTTAAACCAAACCCTCAAATAAACAAATGCAAATAATCTGTTTATGCAGATGTTACTTTGGCAGAAGTTCAAATAAGGTTGAGTTTTAAACCTCTCAGCCTAAAATATTTCTTGCATTGCTAGACTGGCTATTTGATTCCATTTAAAAATTGTAACTTGTAAAAAAAATAAAATAAAATTGTCACGTACCATCTTAGCATTGAGGAAACAGAAGTGACTGTATTTTCATTCATTAAATACTACTATATTATTCTCAATCCCTTTTAAGGGGAATGTTGAGTCATTTTGTGTACTTTCAAGATAGAACTAGGAATGACAGGAATTACAGGATAAACTAAAGCTCCCAGAATTTAAAAAGTATGAAATCACTAAGCTCACCATCAGGATGTCCCCTCAAAGAGTTAGCAAGTATGATAGGGATCACATACCCATTCCTCGCTTTATTTTTCTCTTTAGCATTTATCACTACCTAACATAGTATGCATTTGACTTACTTACTGTCTCCTCTGCAGAATATAATCGAAACAAGGGCACAGTATGTTTCTTTTCACTGCTCTATCTCCAGGTCCTATAATAGGGCCTGGCATATAGTAGGTACTCAATAAATATTTGTTGAAGAAATGAACAAATGAACTATTCTACAAAGTCAGAAAGTGCCCCACAGGTAGTTTCTCCTATTTAAATTCTACCTGTATCACCCAGTAAATGACTAAGAATTCCCTCAGGTTCCAAGTAGCCAGATCATCTCAGCATCTCAACCACACCACTACCTTCCCCACACCTCTTCCTTAAACTGCAACAATAACCACCATCTAATCATCCCCCACCACTCTCTCTAATTCACCTTTCATACTGATGCCAGAGTGTTCTTCTCAAACAAAAACTTTATCTCATTCTCCTACTTTGGTTGCCCTTGGCTCCACAGGATAAAGTTCAAGCTCCTTAAGAAGGAATACAAAATCTTCTATGTAGGAAGCTGTCTCTTCAGTCTGCCCTCCATCCCCACCACTCTCCAGCCTTACCAAACAACTTCAGTTCACAACACACTGCCCATTTCCAAACTCCAATCGTTTACTCTGTCTGGAGTGACCTTCCCTACTTTGTCTGGTACACCCTCTGCTCATCTTTTAAAACCCAGTTCAAGCCATCTCCTCCAGAAAGCCCTGACTTTCCCCGAGATTCACTCACCCCATGCTCTGACTTCACTTTGTACGTACCTCTACTAGAGTATTTATCACTCTGTACTGTAATTATGTCTGTGTCCAGCAACCTCACTAGATTGTGAGGTTCTTGAGGGAGAGCGGTGTCTTAGTCATCTCTGATCCCTAGTGCCTAGCACATACGGAATGCAGAAAGGCCATCTCCAGATCAAAAGGAAATTAACCCAAGATTGGTTATAGGGAATCAGATCTCTGGAAGAGAAGCGCCCATCACCTGCAGTGGGCCCCCAGATGACTGGATCTTGTGTTCAGGCATTTCGGACACAGGAACATAGAAATCTGACACGGCCGCAGCCAGGTAAAACATCGCAGAAGAGCCTGCAAAAAGAAGCACAGGGTGTAATAAATCGGAGAAAGGTATGGAGTCAGCTCCTTTTCAACTCAGGTTCCCCCGCTGTGAGAGCCATGCGTAAAAAGGGGGTGGGGATGAGCGTCTTGGGGGAAAGGATCTGCCTCCCGGCATCCGATGGACTCCTAAAGGCACGCACCTAGCGGATTGAGCGCCTGGGCTGCAGCCTGCAGCAGATGCAAATAGTCTGCCAAAGTGGTGAACTCTATGGCAAGGAAGGTGCCGGCAGCCTCAGCCTCCTGGTAGCTCCGCAGAGCCGCGGCGAAGCCCGGGAGTGCCTTCTCCTCCGCCTCCAAGCTCAGCAAGCCCGAAGCCGCTCGGCCGGAGGGCCGCAGAGCCGACAGCCAGGTCTGGGGCGGGAAGCGGTGGGCAAAGGGGAAGGCAGAGCGAGCACGGTACAGAAACAGGACCCCGTAGCCCGCGGCCAGGAAGGCTTCGGCCGAGGTAGCGCCGCGCCGCCCGCTGCTGAAGTTGTCCAGGAAGCGCACAGGCCGGGCTTCCAGGGGGACCTTGGTGCCGCCGGACGTGACCAACACTACCCGTCGGCCCTGCGCGCCCAGCCCGGCGGCGAACCGAGCCATCACCTCGGCCCAGCGCGCAGCACCGGCGGGCTGGGGGAACTCGGCGACCAGGTCCACTGCCGCCATCGGTCCCGGAACCCGCCGCACCAGCGAAAGCTACGGGGTCTTCGGCGCCACGCCCCCTGCCCCGGTACCTGGCCCACGCGCAGCCGCAATAGTGAGGGGGCGGTTCGCTACCATGCGCTGCAAGCCAGCGCCGGGTTTCTGCAGGTCTGGAAATGCGTGCTGGTTCCGCCCCACAGCCTGCGAAACTGACACTGAGCTGGCCGGAGTTCTCGGCTGGGCAGGCATCTGGACGAGTCACACCCCCTCGTTTAGTTTCCTAGTCTGGGTGAAGATCTGGACGTGTTTGACCCTTACCGGCTACCATACAGACCCTGCTAGGCTTGGACCTCGCTAAAATTTGAGTGCCCGGCCATTTAACCTTTGGATTTGTAGTGCAGGGCTTGTTTTGTTTTTTGTTTTTTTAAACCCTACAAACACACTCCAAGTGTCAGTCGAGCCACGGCCCACCCCCCGCCCTCGAAAAGCTTGGAATGAGGCTGCGCCTTGTTGGTCACGTGACACCGCCGCCCAGTGTGTCCTCGCCAGGCAACGGTCCTAGAGACCGACAACACCGTCTGCCGCAGCATGAACGTGATCTACCCTCTTGCGGTGCCCAAGGGGCGCCGGATCTGCTGTGAGGTGTGCGAAGCTCCGGCCGAGCGGGTCTGCGGGGCCTGCACAGTCACTTATTACTGGTAGGCCCTGAAACGTGGCACCTGGGCGCCTCAACCCCCTCTCTCTCAGTCAGGGAACCCTCAAAGCGGCTTCAAAACAGGTCCCTAAGAGTTCTACGTCTGTGTCCGCTTCCTCTCCCACTCAGTCATTCCTCTCCAGATGTTTTGTTGCGCGCTTACTGTGCGCTATGCACTGTTCTAGGTGCTGAACTTCCTGGGGGAAACTCGGGACACCACGTCCCTCAAAAATCTAATGTTCTAGGACTTCCCTGGCGGTCCAGTGGTTGAGACTCCGCGCTTCCACTGTAGGGGGCGTAGGGTTCGATCCCTGGTCGGGGAATTAAGATTCCCACATGCTATGCGGCTCTGGCCAAAAAAAAAAAAAAAAAAAAATCTAATGTTCTAACGAGAAAGATAAGTAAACCAACAGACAAAACAAGATAATTTCAGAGAGTGATAAATGCCATAAAGACAAAGGAAATGTGATGGGAGGTTGGGCAGACAGCCTCTCTGAGGGTAGACTATTGATCTGAAGTTAGAGTAGGAACAGCCCGCCAGGGAAATGCTGGGGGAAGAGTGGCACAGTGAGGCTCCGAGGGAGGGAAGACCTTGGTGTGTTTGAGGAATAGATAGAAAGTTAGTTTGTCAGAGCATAGCCAAGATGGTGACAGTGTGGGGAGGGTAGTACAAGATGAGATCAGCTTTCATTTATTCAGCATAACATCCACTGATCTTTGCTTCAGATTGGACCCTATTTGGGACCTGAGATAAAACAGCTAGGTTGCTGACGTCCAGAAACCTAGTCCAGAGCCGACTAACTTGTTTCAAAAAGAAAGTCATTATAATACAACCCTACATGACAAGTGCTGTCACTCAGGGAGTACTATTCCCTGGGACCTCTAAGGATGGAAGCATGGTGATGGGGCAGTATCTGGAAAGGTTCCTCTGAAGAAGTAACATTTGCACTGGGTCTTGAGAGGTCAGAAGGAAATTGCTAGGTGAATGAACAAGGAAGAGGGAAAGGTAGAGTACCCCTGGCATCCAGGACTGCTTGGGTAAAGGGTGAGAGAACAGACTTTGTTCAGAGGTGGGTAGAGAAGGTAGCCGTGGAGGGAGCAGTCACTGATTTTCAGACTGCAGTCCAGGGCCCATTAGCAGGTCATGAATAAATCACAACCAGAGTTTTAAGAGAAAAAAAAAAAAAAAGAATAGACAGTATCAGAGTAATCCTAATTGAATTGTTTCTTGAAACTTTTGTTTTAGTGATCTATGTGGTTATGTGTCTTTGTACTAGTGAAATGTATTTCCTACTGTACGCTGAGTTAAAAAAAAGTTTCAAAATCATTGTGATAGGTAGTAGTAGGAGTTTAAACCAAGAAGATAAAGGTTAGGGCCAAACAGTGACATGAGATCAAGGAGTTTGGAATTTATCCTCTGGGGGGTCATGGATGGTTTTAGATTGGAAGGTAGACACTGAAGGCTGTGTAACTTCTCAGTTGCAGTGGTCCCAGTGGAGACTGAATTAGGTGTCCCTCCTCGGTGCTTTCACAGCACTCTTTAGGTCCCTTTGCCTCACATTTATGACATGGATTGAAATCACTTGTTCAGTGGTCTGTATTCCTCACCAGGCTGTATGCCCCATGAGGGCAAGGAGAGCATCTGTGTTTTCATTGCTGTTTCTTCAATGCATGTAGAATACAATTCAGAATTTGGAACAGAAACTGCGAAGCCCTGGTTGCTTCTCTATCTTCAGTTCCCACCAGTCATCCCCTCTTTTCCTTGATGCAGTTACAGAGGCTTTCTTTCAATTCTAATTTCCCAGCTCTTTTCCTCCCTCAGTTTCTTTGCCCATGCCGTTGCCTTTGCTGGGATCATTCCCTACAGTCACGAATCTTCCTAGCTCTCTTTCATCTTTGTTCTCAGAAATGTTATTTCTTCAAAGAGGTCTTTCTGGAAACCCCAACCTAAATGCCCTTATCTGATTTTCTCTCTCACATTTTTTCTTTACTTTTACGTTTTTTGTTTTACTTGTTTAATATCTATCTTTTTTTTTTTTTTTTTTTTTCTGGCTGGACCGTGCAGCTTGTGGGATTTTAGCTCCCCAACCAGGGATTGAACCCGGGTCCCCTGTCTTGGAACCACTGGACCGCTAGGGAAGTCCTGAGTCAACAATTTTAAGTACAGGACTGGCACTCTGGGGAGAGATGAGACTCCTTTGCCTGATATGAGCACCTACCTCTTCCCCTGTCCCCTTCATCCCTCCAGCCAGAAGCAATTCCTCCTTCCTCTCAACTCACTTTGTACTTACTCTGTACCTCTCAGATGACTCTTATTTCCATGCCTCATAGTTGTTGGCAAACATGTTAGCTCAATTTTATTATGCTCTATTAATGCAGGATATTATGTTGAATATGTAGAAGGACTGTCATACGTATGTTATCTTTTGATCTGTTTCAGACCCATCTGCGTATAACCTATGGTCTCCAGCAAAGTGTCTTGAAATAATTGAAACTAAATATTTGATGAATGCATGAATAAGTTATTATTTCCTCCATTATTTTCTTTCTCTTCTTTCACTGCCTTTAATTATTTTTAAGGTCTTCTACTCTCCCCCTACCTTTTCTCCAGATTTCTATATCCTTGTGTCCTAGAGATTTCATGATTTTTCCAGAAAATAAAACTGTGATAATTGTTCTATATCTCACAAATGAGGGCCTTTAATATCCCCTTCCAGGGTTTTCACGGTTGAATGTAAAGCATCTAGCCCCATGCCTGAGACCATGCTGGCACTCAATAAGTATTGTTTTTCCTCATCCCAAATTTAAGGAGCAGGAAGGACAGTCAACTTGGATTTGTGAAAGTTTATTTTTTTGCAAAATAATTTTTCCCAATTATAAATGTAATTCATGCGCACTACAGAAAACTTGAAAATACAAAAAAGATGAAAAATAATCCATAATCTCACAGCCCAGATAATTAATAGCCTGACATTTTGGTGAATTTCTTCATGTTCTTTTCCTATAAATACATTTATTTTATACACTCTGTGTAATCTTGTGCATATCATTCTGTGTTGGATTGTGAGAATGTTCCCAGGAAATAGAACATTTTTAAGAGAAGGCATTTTTGTTAAAGTACACAGTGAAACATTATAGGTGAAAGAGGCTTCAATACTATAGGTTAGTAAGTCGTAGCATATAGATAAGAGTAATTTGCAATAATTTTTCCTTTCATTTAACATATGGGGCACAAATTAAAATGCTTTCACTGTCCAGGAAGAGAAAACAGTGAAGTGGTATTCAATAGTAAGATCTATGGTGAACTGGAGAATGAATGCCCCGCCTAACGACATTCAGATTAGTTTAAAAAACATGGTAATGGCCAAACAAAACATGTCTGGCCCACAAGCTATTTGACTGTGAGCCCTAATTTGAAAGCATACTTTTCAACTCCTTCTTTATGCATGACCCTGTGATAGTTGTGAGGGGTGATACAGATGAATAAGGAGAGAGCTCAGGAATATATAAATATGCACCCTTTCTTTAGAAAGGCAAGATATGTAGATGCTGTCAGTAGAAAAAAAGTTCAGGCAGTTAAGTAAGTTAATATTTCCATTGCTCACACAATTACTCAGTAAGCCCGTACTAAATAAATACCCTGTGGAAGTCACCTATTTCTTTATTCTGGCTGTTAAGTGCTTTTATTGATTTGTTTTCAATAATTCTCTATCAAAAAACCCTTAAAAATGCTTTTTGTCATTTCTATGAGAGCTGTCATAGTTTATAAAGAACACTTTATCGCATTTCTGTTGTCCCAGAAGAAAGGAAGGAGAGAGAGTATTGGAACACAGCTATGTATTGTCTATGACTGCTTTTATGCTACAACAACAGAGTTGAGTAGTTGCAACAGAGACCAAGTAGCTCACAAAGCCCCAAATTTACTATCTGGCCGCAAGAAAAACTTTGCTAATCCCTGCCCTAGGTTATTGTTACCTGTTTTGGACTATGTATAAATGGAATCAAATAGCTAACTTTCTCACATTTAAATAAAAATATATAATAGGCAATAGAAATGCAGAAACCTATGATTGTATGCATCCAACCACAGTCTCAAAATACATGAAGCAATAACTGTCAGAACTGAAGGGGGAAATAAATAATTCAATAGTAATAGTTGGACACTTCAATATCTGCCTTTCAACAATGAATAGAACAACTGGACAAAAGATCAGCAGGGAAATATAAGCCCTGAACAGCACTATAAACGAACTAGACCTAACAGACATTTATAGAATACAGAATATACATTCTTCTCAAGTGCATATGGAACATTCTCCAGTGTTAACCA